TTCTGGTGGAAAACACATTTAAGAAATCATAATCGGTTTTAAATTTCTGCAGAAATCCTCCCGCAGCCAAATAGTAAGTTGTCCTCCTAAGTGATTTTCCGCTTCATCATAACTGAAAGGTTTTCCTGGGTGACGGACTGCGAGGAACAGCGGGGGGTTTAAATTTCTAGCAGGGACAGCCAAGCTGAGAAGGAAACCGGATCTTTTATCCGGAAGTCCATCTAGGAGTAAGCCGTACCAGGAATGATCGCAGTCTTGGTAGGTACTGGTCGCAAGGTAGTAATCGTCCTTTAATCAACACGGGCCGGCGAATTCTCTAGAATGGTGACGAACTTGAGGAAGCCCCGGCTAGGCTTACTTCGAGACTCTAAGGAGGAAAACAGTTGAACCAGCACAGGTAAACTGCACTGAGGCTCACGCCATTGATCAAGACGGGCCGCTCAACTATCCAATTTAGTAAGTAATGTAAGTTGCAATCAAAAGTCGAAATAAATATAGATCGAACCTCAAGACGAATGTGTCAGCTACTTTTTTCGCATCACTTGTCATACACAACGTCGTCGTAGAAACAAATCCCCGTTTAGTAAGCATCTTCACACACTTAAAACGCTACTGTTTGTAGAAACGCATTTTATCGGCTGTTTTCAAACCTCGCTGAAAACATTTACTATAGTTTGTGAGAATGCTAGAAGCCTTCCAAAGGCTGAAATGTCAGAGTCATACGTAAGTTTCGAAGGTATCGCTCTCTTCATCAGTGGCCCACACCCCACACTGAACTTCGAATACTTCGACTAAGAGAAACTGGTGATAACACATAGATTATCTTGTGCTATCTCCATAAACCCTCTTAATGCTGTAAAACAGCACATGTGGCGCAGTGCTATGCGTCGCATACGAGAGCGATGGTTTGCTCTCGCGTTCATGGCTCACCAAGCCATCCATCCCTCCGAGGTCGGTAGATTGGTACCAGACTGGTCTCAGACTTGTCTGGGAGGATAAGCAGCACTGACTCCGTTCAGCAGGAAGCTACCGCGAGTCACTGTAAGGGCCAGATAGGCACTCAATCACCTCGAACGAAATTAAAAATTGAAGACGAATGCTGCGCATTCTTCAGGGATTGATCAACGCCGAGAGCTTTATCCTTTTATCTTTTTATCACCATAAATAACGTCTCCTCATTCTTGCTATGAAGAGGGCGGCACCCTTGAAACGTTGGTATAGCTCTGACGTTTCAACATCGGGAGGGCTTCTAGCATTTTCACAGGCTACTGTTAGTATTTTTCATGGGCTCCGAACAAGATGAAGATGTCGAAACGATAGCCGATTGAGGTACTTTAACAGACGATATTGGTTGGCTATGCAGAGATTTGACGAGTATCCATAATATCATTATGCTTTGTGCTAGCTGAAAACGATACCAACTACTGCAAGATGTCCAAAAAAAAATTACTATTAGCGGCCAATCGTCATAGCACCAATCCGCTTTCAGAAAACATCCTGAATGAGCTTTGCTTCGTTGAAGAAGATTCGATTCGAACGACAGCTAAGACGAAGACCCACAGCGAGGACGATTGACTGTGGACAATAGCCTCGAGTCATAGGCTTTGAAGAAGGCGAAGATGTTGACCGGAAACCGAGTATAGTCTTTAATCACCTTCACGGTATTAGCTTGATCATGGGAGAAAAAGTTAGTGTTTGTTTCCTTTTTGATGCTATGAATAGAAGCAGAAGGAAACTATGAAAGGACACCTTTATTACAAATAACCCTAGCTTTTTCTTTATTTGAGCTATAAATTACAATGTCCTTAAAGTCATAATGGTATTCTAAGATCACCACGAATAGATTCAAACAGCTTTTCTCAAAAGCGATGTGAATCCGCTGAAGAATGTTCTGATTATTAGAAAACTTCAAAATGCTTGCGGATGAAAGTATTACAAATATAGACGCACTTTAATCGAAAAGCAAGTAAGTTGTTTCAATGCCGATTAGTCCATCCAACTTGCGATGTAGGAATTGTCAAATTCTTCCATCCATTTGATTATATTGGTTCAGAAACGCTCGACTTCAGTGCGGAAGTGAGTAGGCATAGGCATTTTGAAGGGATCGCTCCACCAGTATTGTGCAGGAGGGTGTTTAGCCTCCTACGTTGTGAACATGTCTTTGCCAGCTGAGTGACATGGATTCACAACTCCATTATCGATGCCTCAACATAGATGTCTTTAACAATTTCAAGAGTTCTAAATCTCTTTTTTTTCAAAGACTCGACGCTGGGCCAGTCCAATCAAAAGCTATAGCCTTTTGATGAAACTCTCGAGGTATCGTAGTTTGAGCAAAATTGTTAAGTTTGTCACTATCCAAGATTATTTAACAAGTAAATCCTCTTCAGTTGAGTACTTTTCATCATTGTGATTCGCATGGTAAATGAAGTAAATAAGCGAAAATGAATCCATCCGCATTCTTTCAGAGTATTCTACTGTCGCTCTCCTATATAAACTCAACTAACCAGGTGATGTTCCGTCGTGTCGGTGCAGTCTTTCCAAAGACGTCGAAATTCTCCAGAATCCAAAAAGACCGTACGCATCACACCAAAAGTGGTGATTTCCTGTAACAGAAAATGATATCATAAAAGCACATCCCCACCAAATTTCTTATAAATATTTCATTATTCGTGAAGACTATTTAGTGCATTGGTTTGATTTCCTTATCAATACAGTTTCAGATATCGAATTGCTGTGTTCACCGTTGTCCCAGAAGAGTATCGTATAACTGGGGTAACATCATTCACCTTATACAATCACATGCTTAAACAAACATAAGCCTAATCCACGACAGAGTTTCATAGAATAGCTCTGGCATGTGTTTGCCAGACGTGTAGAAAACAGAAGGGCCTACACGACGACCGTGAGAATTGCTATCTTCATAGAAAAAATAGTTCACTTTGCTGTACTGAACGATAGTGTGGTGAATTAAAGAATAAAGCTTTTGGCGTTGATCAATCCCAAGGGGATACGTCATGCATTCGCCTTCAGTTTCTGACTTCGTCTGTGGCGATTGAGCGCATATCTGGTCTTTACAATGACTTGCGACGGGCGACTGATGTATCAGGTAATCCCTCCAGACAAGCCTGATATCAGTTTACTGACTGTGGAGAGATGGAAGATTTAGTGAGCCATAAGAGCGAGATCAAACCGTCGGCCACTTGTCGCCCAGCACCTATGACCACTGCGCCATACCGATCTTCAGTGTGGCGTGCTTTATTACTAGAGTGTTAGCAAAGCCACTGGTCATGCAGATTTTGCTTATAGTTACATTCAAACTTGAAAAATTTCTCAACCATGGTGATTGTTTGCATGATTCACGAAGAAAATACACTCCAAAACAAGCGAAAAACTTCGCACTGCTGACGCAGTTTCACATGAATTTCTCTTCATTATTCTTCTTATCTCTGACCTTTTTCGTGCCGTATACTCAGGCAATATCTTCAAAGGTTTTGTGATATCTAATAACCCTACATAATTCCGCTTACCTTTGTTAGTGTCGATGAATCGATAACGGAATTCTTGATGCGGTGCTAGGAACACATCCCTTTTGTCCGCCGACACGGATTGACATCGAATTCGAACGTTTGCGTCGCAAAGGTTCACTATTCCCACCTTAAAGCCTCATGAGGTTCATAGATAGCAGCTTTTTTATAAGACTCTCATGATCTGCTGAATTCTATTATTTCCCCGGAATAGACTTTGTGGTCTTTCTCATGCCTGACACTTTTTGCAACGTGAAAATTAACGAATAGTCACTAGCGTTGACAGTTTGGCCAGGATTTTCGAAAGTTAGTGAGTATATGAGATTGTTGCCAAGTGGACGGCTTATCTTCAATTAATGTTGGAAGACTCAGGAAGCAGTTGAACGGTGAGTGTCTCAAAATAAAGATACTTATCATGCGATTCAAAATTATCTTCATTCGTCTTTGCTCGGGTCATAAGAGTATTTGAGCGAATAGACTGCAACTCAGTTTGATCTTTCCCAGATTCTGTAGAAGGCGAAGATAGCCAGAGCATCGCCCATACTACTTTCATTATTCAGTGCGCATTATTGTTGAATTCGCTGGATGTGCTTAACAGTAAAACACTGAATTTTCTGCCTGCATAGCCTCATCAGGATTTGATAACAACATTACAGTGTTCAAGAATGGAATACAGCATCAATGGCTCACTGGCACTCGCAATCTCCTATTTAACCCAAACTTTCAAAGAACCTTTCATTTTTTCGGTGGGGGAACTAGAGCACCCCGAGAATACTAGCTAAAGACGAAGGACATGCTCGATTGCCGAGGCCGTCAAGGCCAAAACACGTGTATTGGCCTGTACAAGAGCCCATAATGAGACTACATCACATGTTGACTTAAATGATAGTTACGAATTGATCAAGAATTTTTGAGAGTTATTGAATCAACTGACACGAAAGCGCTCCTCACGAATCGAGTTGCGCGCAGCCGTGTTGAACTGCCGTTCCGAGACGATGCTATGTTCGTTGTTTAATTGAAGATTGCTCGCAAGATTTAAAGCGATTTTCGTGTCTTTTGATATTCGATGCTGCACGATTTTCTTCAAACGCTCAATGAATATATAATTCTCAAAGCGAAGAAAATTTCAAGAGTGAAAATTAATCTTCTTTTTGTTGCTACAGTGCTTAAAAAAGCCTTCACAAAAGGTGCAAATGAACCTTTAGAATAGCCGTTTTTCAAGCTATTGAGAACTACTCAGTGTCTATGAGAAGCCAACCACAGATCTTAGCCGACCAAGAAGTCTGGATAAATGTGAATTGTAGCATTTCTTAGTTGCTACAGCTCACTATTGAGTTTTCAAAAGATTACATATCACAATAGTTGTCAGCTGAACTGGGTTTATAAAGCGAAATTGCATGCCTGACCAAGCCTGTTAAAGGTTGGTGGCTTATAGCTAAAATAGAGATGGTGAAGAACGAGTGGTAGCGCAAATGTGATTCAGTGGTGCAGTGGTGGCACGCGTACCCGGTACGCATGAAACGAGGGGTCGATTCCCGCCTGAGGCCGTGTTTTTGCTCACCACTCAAGTCTATTGCTACAATCATCGTTTTTCAGACTACCGAGCAACTACTAGAAATCTGATAGAAAATTTGTGTACAGCGAAAAAGGCCTTTAAAAGTGGTGTATCAATTAGATACAAGTCGTTTCGATTGGATTAATGCTTCACCATTTCTAAATTTTCGAAGTATTCAACCTTGCTTCTCAGCCCAGGATCTATAAGGCTTTTCATCTTATGTGATAAACTTATTAAGAACAAAAAGTTGTTCATTTTTCAAAATTTTATCTGATGCGTCTTCACAGTGTGGTTTTTCAGTGTGCGAATTCGCGGTACTTTCATCATTCACTTCGTTTTTTCGTCTTCTTCTTGAATGTCGTAGAATACTGGCTGAGCGAGTCTTCTTGCAATCTGAATTATAGTCTGGCTGTGGCGATCCATGAGGCGTTCATTGTTACTTATGAGGAGAATTGTGGGGGTGGGATCGCCCCTACGCGCACCGCGACAAGCATCACATCCGCTCGACCACGGCGCCTCTGTTCATTTTGGTATTGTCAAAAACATGATTAAGCGATATAGTCGAGGTTTTGAGGAGTTACCCTAAAGCTTGTATATGTTCGCCGTAGGGATTCGAATACTCTGTATAAAAAAGCTTGAAACTGATCAATATCTGAGGAATGCGCCATGCATCCGAGTTCATTGAGTAGTTTTAGAGGTAATTAAATATATATTCAGGACATAAAAGCGCTTGCAAGGTCCACTGAAGAAATCAGCCTTTTTGCCCTTCCTGAAATTGTGACGACAGTTTACCGACTCCGGAGGGATGAAAGGCATGGTAAATCTGGGACACGGGATGAACCAGTGACCAAAAGCGTATAGCAGAGGACCGCTAACCATTGTGCTACACGCGCGTCACCTACTAGGTGTTAAATACTATTTTATCATTGTTCATGAAATATCATGAAATATCCCCCAGTGGAATACAATGTCAGTTATTTAGAGATCAATCGAGCGGTGTATTTATCAAGGAACCATTTACAACAATGTCTATTTTAGCTGCATTTTACCTCACTTCTGCTTCGAGAGCTCGAGACAAAGACACTGGTGAACAGAACGAAAGCGAAAGCAATGGAAGAACAGCACATCCTAAAAAAAACTACGCCTGTTCCTCGCATAAGAAGCAATCAGCGAATTCTTGAGGTTTTAGTAAAAATGTGAAGGACAAGATTCGTTAAGTTGTTGCATATAATGATGAAAAATAACTATAGATAATCGAAAATAGGTAGAAACGGTATGCTATGGTGTCACTTCATTGGGTAAGAAACCATTTAGAGAACATTTTCACCATTTTTGAACCTCGTCTTGATTGTAAGTCAAGTTCTCTATGTGAGTTCTAACGTGATCTAGCTCATCACTTGTAATTATTGATATGTAAAATTTATTAGAAAGCCGGCTATAGAAAAGTTTACGTCATGACTGCTCAAAATTTTCAACGCCCACCTAATAAAAAAAAAGCCGAGCATGTTCACCTAATAATTCTAGGAGCTTAGGACTTCATCTTCTAAATGCAATTTAGTTTCAATTTAATTTCTTTTTGAAAGCTTTTTGGTTTACTCGTTTAACTTTCCGTTGAACAATTGCACTGCTCAGATTCACGAAGAGGTCAAAATGTGTCATACTGGCAAAGTGTTTGCTTTATAAGAAAAGGTCCTTAAGATCAGATAGACCGTATCTCCGTCAAATATTTCTAGCTCTGAGAGGAACATCAACAAGGAACTAAAGGGTCAAACGCATATTTGAGCCAAGTGGAACATCGTAAACTATCCAATCAGCATTTGTGAGGGTTCAATTCAAATCAGAAAAGGTAGAGAGCAATCGGCTTTTCATCAGGTTTTTGACTTCGATAGTTAGTTTGCATTTTTTTGACCCCACAGCTGCTCTCCCAGGGATCATGTCGTTCATAATGCAATGGTCACGCACTGACTATCCCTGAGAGTCTGAATCTGGATTCAGTTACATCAAACATTGTTGGAGATGGTGGAATTCATATCTGGCTTGCATAATGACTTGCCGTTGCCTATCTATGTACCATATCACTGCCGTTATCTTTCCAAACAAATATGATATCCAGCTTGCCAACCGGAGGATCGACTGCTTAGTGAGCCCATTGCGCGAGTAAAACGATCTATCTATCATATACGGAAGAGCAAAAAGTTCTGATAATTTTGCATTTTAATGGTTTTAGCATTTCTATAATACTTTTTATTAGTGCTGAGAATAGTCTTAAATCCCTTGTTAAATTATGGTCTAGAATCTGTTTCGTTTATTTGTCTAAGTCCAAGTGTGCTCAAGTTATGGATCGTAACGATCAACGTGTCACAGTAGTTGAGATGTACAAGACGGAAATGAAAACGGCCGGCATTGCTAAGATGACTTTTTTCTAACCAGAATGTTTCTACAGAGCAGTGAAACGTTTCAAGGAGGCTGGAGGAATGGAGGACCGGTTGCCCAGTTACCTTCTTAACGCCGGAAAGCATTCAGAAGATCCGTTGAAAAGTTCAATGAAATGTTCGAGAGGCAGAATGGCTCGGTGAGCTCACAACTAGCGACCGGGGCGTCCGAAGCATTGTTAAAAATAAACTGAAGCTGTGCAGCTACAAGACTTTTTGATTTCACTTTCTCGAGAAAGAGATGAAAGAAGAACGGCTAACAAAGGCTGGCCAAATGATTCGCATGATAGCTGATGCTCCTTTATGGGAATTGCTTCTTACCGATGAGGAGATATTCACAGTCGCACTAGTCTGCTGTCGCTGGAATCGACGTCACCTTTTCAGGAAGGGTCAGTGGAAGTCTTCAGTAGCAAAAATCATGGGCAGCAGTCATTTTCCGCCTTCTGTGATGGTCTGGGCCAACATTTGCTCCATCGGGAAGCCACCGTTGGTCTTCGACAACAGAAACATCAAAATCAACTCTGCCAGCCATCAGCAGCAAGTTTTATGGAGCATACTGGAGCCTTGCAGTACTCAACACTTTGGCGACAACGGATTCACGCTTTAGCAGTACTGGGCTCCTGCGCATTACCATCTACCAAGAGATGTTTCCAGGCCTTTGCCGCAAGAACACTGGCCGTCAAACTTGCCTGATCTCAACCTAATGGATTGTGGCCAATACTTGAGAAGAAGTCTCAGCTACTCGCTAGACGAGCGTCGACGCGTCTAAGACGACATTGACACGCGCTTGGGACAAATTTACGGTGAAAACGTGTGCGAGCATCATCGATAAGTTTCCAAGCGACTTCGTGAATGTGTAGGGGACAAAGGGGGCAGTTTTGAGAATTTGTCAAAAACTTTTGTTTATCGCTATAATTGTTAATCTGATAAGCTTGATTATTCTTTCAATTGAATAAATTCATTTGTCTACGCAGTTTTTTTTAACTGCTGAAATATCTAAAAAATTAGCAGCCGCACCCTATATTGCAGGGTATCGTTTAGCCCTATGCTAGGTAACACCGTTTTCGCAAATCTATGCCAAAGTTAAAAGCAGTTACTTCCAACACATTTGGGAGTTTTACGTACAGCGCACATGCAAGACTTTTGTGCTATCGATATTGATGATATTTCGAGTTATGTCCTCTGAAATATGCCTTAGTTTATTCATGAAAAGTTTTCCAGTTTGAGAGCAGCATTTCAATTAGTCTTACTCATTGCAAACTAGGATAAAGGGTGGTTTCTAACGTTTTCAGAATCTTCACGGCTCTAAAAATCACGAAGCCACAAAGCGTTAACCACAACAAAGTTTTCCAACAAGATAGCAAGGGCATCTCAAAAAGGCAATACAAGAGCGATAATTATTAATATCACTCTAGCATGAGCAATATCGTGGTAGAAAGCACATCAATACTTGTAAGGTCCACATACTGCTTCGCACTATGCCAACTGAACTTTTCATTCCACCAAATTGGAAGATGCATATCAAGTTTCGCAACGCAACGCCAAGAGCTAAATCATTTTTCACTCTACTGTCGCTGCATAGACGGCTGCCTCATTGTCTGTTGCACACGAGAAAAGATGGGAAAATGCTTTGAAGGGCTCTTCGAGGAATCAGAGTATAGTGAGTTCACACGAGAAAAGATGGGAAAATGCTTTGAAGGGCTGTTTGAGGAATCAGAGTATAGTGAGTTCACACGAGCAAAGATGAGAAAATCGGCCTTTATTTGACCTAAAAATAATGCTTCTAGGAAGGAGCCTTATAACAAAATGATATCGAAAACCACGTAGTAAGATTAAGCTAGTGCACTATCTCTTTTCTCATCACTCACATACGAAAAAAGTACTTGTCCGAAACATGTACCGAACAGCTACAAACGTTTTCACGGGAGGAGAAGAAAGAAAGGAGTTACTAAACTTGGCATAACAAACTGTCATCTCACATGGCTGCGGAAGAAAGGCTGGGTCAAAAAGGCGAGATAGGACCAATAACTTGAGCAATGCTATACCAAACCTCAATGGAAAGACTCCCTTGAGACCACTCTTCGTAATGACCAAAGCAGTCACCACTATCAAAAGTTGTTTAAGAAACAGTGATCTAGAAACTTTGCGGGATTTATAGAAAATTCACCTCACCACTGCGGCGTCGTTTGGTTCGGGGCCCTTTGTATGATTGCATGTATGAGACAGAGGGTTACGCGATTTCATGTAAGGATAGATAAGAGCATTAGATAAGTTTGGGTGTAATATACCTAATTTTCTTATAAGTTATACGGTCATGATTCTACTGTTGAAACAGTTTGATTACTCTGATACCGCATGAAATAACATCGAGTTGATAAAGTCAAAAGTCGTTAAAATAATTTTTTAGGTTCACACTGAGCATAGAGGAACAACGATGATGATTTTGGAGTGAATGTCACAACTCTGGTGGAGCTCGAAACTCGTGGTGTGGCTTCGACAAGTTTCAAAAAAGTTGAGCCGGAAATACGAATGCCTCACTATCACGAGTGCCGGTTTTTTGA